TATATATATATATATATATATATATATAAAAGAGAGAATGTGTGGCCAGCACAGAAGAGGTGAACTAAATGTTCTCCCAGCCCGGAAGACAGGTGTGTAGATTCCCAGGGGGCAGCTTTCTTTGTGTGCAGGCCGTGCACTTGTCCTGTCCCTGTGTGTCCTGGGACCCCTTGCCTGCCTTTGCTTTAGCTCTTCCACCTGAAAGCCTGGCCAGTAGTCACGGGACCCACTCATTGAGTTCTAAGGAGCTAGACTCAGCTTAGCCTTTTTGTAAGAAGGTTTAAAAAAAAACTAGGAAGTCTGTGCGCTTTCTCTGTATTTTCAGAGCTATGGTTTATGTGAATTCTGTGGTCTTCCACTACTTTATAGTCAGGCGGCTTTAAATTAAAAGAGAGTGGTGCTGTCTCTGCCGCTGTCTCTGCCCTCTAAGATCTGCACAGCAGTGCACTTGCCACAGTGGTGGTGGGAACAGATGGTGGGATGGGCCTCATGGAATGCTGGAGAAATGAGGAGGTATTGCTTCATATGTTTGGGGGGGAGTCAGATGCTCTGGTGCTTAATGAGTGAATGCTTCTCTTTCCCTTGCAGGTGAAAAGGGGGTGAGGGTTGAACTCAATAAGCCTAATTCAGTCAGCAAAGATGTCTAGCACGGCCTTAGGTCCGGCAGTACCCACTCACCTACCGCCACTCGGTTGCCTTCTGTGGACTCGTGGATGGGATGAACAGAGACTCCTGGCTGGCATTCCAGCTGCGAGCCAGGCAACTCGGCCAGTGTCGTCCAACAGAGGGCTGCATCTGCTGTGACTGTGCTGTGGGGTCAGCTCCAGATCTGTGACTGCACTTGGCTGCTTACTGAAGAGGAGATGCTGTCTGAGGAGAGGGCTTTCCCATCTGGACACACAACAAGGGCCCTATGTAGGATTTTCTTCATTCTTCTATTTTGCCAGATCTGTCATCTAACTGAGTTCATTTCATCTCTCTTTTTTATATCAAGTTTGAATTCGGGGAATTTTTGTATTAGGTACAATTTATCAAAACTGAATTAAGAAAAAAATTTACAGTATTATTCCTGAAAATAACATCAATCTATTTTTGTAAGCCTCCTCATGCTATTAAAGTTGGCCCTAAAGACCTCCCACGATGACTGTCGCCAGTGAATGGTGGTTCCTTTCCTTTTGACTGACAGGAAAGAAAGGGCGTGGAGTCCCAGCTGCCGTCCATGAGGTTTTTCTTGGCCTGTCTCACAGTAATTTGAACTTGTAAAGGTCTCTGCTGTCACGCTCTGACCTTGGTGATAGTGAAACCTAACAGTAGATGGTCACCACTGAATACCAAGTACCTTAGAGAGCGATGGGAGGAGAAAGCTGCAGAAAAATGGTTTGTTCTGTAAGTTCACGTTCCAGTGCTAAGCGACCGGCACTGAGTACACTTGAGCCTCCTCCACTCGGGTTCCCAAGACAAAGGGCTGTCTTCTGCTTCAGGGCTGACCTGCCACCAGTCGTGCCCACAGCCACAGCTTTCCCGTGGCTCCTCCTTAGTGTGACTGTGCTTCCAGATCCTCCCAGGTCACAGCCTTGTTCTGCTGCAGCAGAGCTCCCAGTGGCCCCAGGCACGTGGACGTGTGTGGTTGTGGCCTCAAGCGTGGTCATCCATCCTTGGACAACTAAGAGTCATTTTCACAACCACTAATGAAAGACGTGTGTGTAGCCTAGAAATCAAAAGAAGTGTGAATCCAGACACTTTATTTTATGGGTTTTTCTCTTTTTAGAGAAAAGAGGGACAGTGTCACAGCCACGAAGGCCTCTTGTCACCTCTGCAGTCCCCTTAGGAAGCCAGACTTTGCACAGATATGGTGTAACTCCTTGTCCCTTGGGTGTTCTATCTCTGACCTTGATCTTTGCCAAAATGTGTGTATGCAGAAGTGTTTCTGTGCGTTTCACCTGGCACCAGTCTGAGCTGTGTAGTTTGTATCCAATTAGAAACCTTTTCTGTGGAAAGCTCAGCAATTCTTACTAAGAGATTGCTATTGTTCATGTAAAACATGAAAAAAAAATCACATAAAGCCGAGTGTAGATTGGGGGTTACTCAGCACTGAGCTTGCATGAGGGGCTCATGGCAGGAGTCAGTTCTGTCCCACATCCTTTCCTTCAGCCCCATAACCGCTGACAACCTCTCCAGCAAGTGCCTCTGTCAGCTGGCCAGCACGAGGTTTTCCACCTGGCCCACCATGTTTCAGAGTTGGGAGGAACTGTTTAGCATTTGGTCACAGAAGATCTTGTTTGATTGGAGCAGCAGCCTTTGAATGTGGGAGTCTGTGGTATACTTTGTATCCGACCTTTACAAGCATACCAGGTTCCAGACTCTGCTGCTTGGAGGTGGGGGGTGTACTTGCCAGACAAAGCTTAAATTCTGTATCTCTTGGAAAGTTTCTGTCCTTCCCTGGAGGTCACTGTGAGAAGATCAGGAAATCAGGATAGCCGCGCACTTAATACCCATTCAACTCTCAGTTTCATGTTAGTGGCACCAAGAAGGGCTCTATTTAAAACTGTTTGTGGCCTCTGTGTGTTAATCCTGTTTAAAGAGAAAGCTTTAAGATGCCGTTTATCCAACACATTAAGCAGCTGGGGAACAGACCTTTACCCATGACAGGCAGAGCACTTCAGGATTTGCATAGAGACTCATGTGGTTCGGACACGGTGTTTCCTATGAAAGCCTCTCACATTGCTTGTAAAGCTAATCTAATTAAAAAGATGTATAAATGTTCTTGAAAAAAACTTAACTGTTGTCACCTCCCGCTTTCTTCTATTTGAAGCCAATTACCATGTCTTGGCTTTCATCTTGGGCCCATTGGTCAGTTACTTATTATCTGGTCCACAGCATACAGCAATTACCTTCTGTAAGTGACAGAACAGCCAGGAGATGCTCCGGGTGCGGAGCCAGCAGCGTCGGCGAGCCGCACCCGCATTCGCAGTATTGTTTTTTTCTCGGTAGGCTTTCAAGTTGCTTTAAACACCATAGCTGTTGAATGCATCATCAGCACCCCTGTGCTGCTGAAGGAGGGGGCCTGGTACTCCCCTGCGGGGCCATTGGTATGCAGCACTACACACATGACCCTTTGATTTGGCCACATGCAAAGACACGATTCTTAGGCCAGAGTAATAGTATGTACTGTAGCTCTCAGAACATAGTGTGGTGCCAGGTGGTGGCGCACGCCTTTAATCCTAGCACGTGAGAGGCAGCGGCAGGAAGAGCTCTGCCACTCTGAGGCCCGCCTGGCTAGCCAGGGCTCCACAGTAACCAGCCAAGCATGGTGTTTGAGGTTCTGGCCTCTCAGAGCATTTGGAAAACTACTGAAGTAGGCAGTGGGTCTGCAGTGGGGTGGGATAGAGGAGGAGGGAGACAGAAATGAAGACTAAGTGTGCTAATGTAATGAAACAGTCAAGTCTCTTTGGTTCTGATGCAACCTTCTGAACCTTGTTTAGTTTTCAGACAGGGTCTTGGCTGTTGTCCAGGCTGGCGTCCAACAGTCCTGCTTAGCCTCCCTAGTGCTGTGCTTTCAGTAGGGAGCCATCAACCCTGCCTGAGATAGCTTTTAATCCTCTCAGTGTCTTGACTTCTGCCTGGGTTCTGTAGCTAGAAACCTGGCTCCTTGGACTCAGTGGACCTCACTGTTTAGTTTCCTGTTTCTCAGACTCCATGTCCCCAACTCCTGGTACCCACAGTGGGCAGATAGATGCTCTCAGGCCCACGACTCAGCCCGGTACAGGAATCCACACTGCACCGGAAACCTTCGATTCTGAAAGTATTGTTCTTGTACGTGGATCCTGGAAAGCCTGTCAAAGGCTCTGGAATGTTCTCATCCCTGGGCTTGCTTGCACCAGTCTGTGGCTTTTCTCAGCCCTGGTGAAATCACACCGCTCACCTGGTGGCGTTCTCTGCTTTCTTCTGGTGCTCCTGTTGCACTGGGGACAGGGCAGTACATGAGTTTAATTCTGCTGTGTTCTTTTCTGGGAACCAACTTTTCTTCACCTCTGAGGCAAGTGCTGAAGGGGATCAATCAGTCCAAAGCCCCACTGTGTTTGCAAGACAAGGAAAACCAAGCCTTTCCAAAGGAAAGAATGAAAGTTGAGATTTGGCTGCAGTTGGTAAAAATTTTTAACTATAAAACATAAGAAAACCTAAATGCAGTCAAATGAGCATTTTCTTGGATAAAACGTGAAATTAGGGAACCATGTCCAGCACCGTGGGGCACTCCTGCAATTACTGCAACAAAGGAGTAAGAAGCCCGACTTGGGAGTTCAAGGCAACTGGGATTCACATGGTGGAATCCCAATCGCAAACTAAACAACCTAAAAAGAAAGGAAGATGGGAGGCAGGGGGAGGGGGTGTCATCCTTTCCAGGAACAGAAACAAGAAGACTGGAAAGAGCTGTCAAGTTAAAGTCAAGTTGCCAATGAGATGGCAGCTAACACTGCCAGTCTGACCCATGTGGCAGGAGAGAACCGACTCCTGAAGTTGCCTTCCATCAACACACATGCCGTGGCATGAGAAAGTTCTCCCTTAAAAAAGAACAGCTTGAGATGCCCAGGGAAGGATGATTCAAATGAAAACACAATGAAGTAGAAATGCAGCCCTGAGGATAAACTGCCCAGAAGTGCTAGAGAGCAGGGCACACACAGCTGTGCTGAGCTTACGGTACTGTGGCCCCCGCAGCGTCAGGACGGATGGCTTGTCCAGTGTGCGGAGGAGCCACCCTCCATCTTCTACTTCTGGCCCCATGGAGCAGCTAACAAGTCACTGTGGGTCCAGGTTATTTTATACAAAGGAAACAGATGTTGGTTGCAGGTTTTTTGAGACAGGCTCTCACTCTGAGACCAAACCATGTAGTCCTTCTGCCTGAGTTCTGGGATTACATTCTTGACCTTGTTTGTTTGCATACAAGGGCATACAAATGTGTATTTATGAATTTAGTTTCTTAGACAGGGTCTCACTGTATAGCTCTGGCTGGTTTGGACTTCAGAGATCCATTTGCCTCTGCATGCTGGGATTAAAGATGTATACCACTTGATGAATTATTTTAACATAATAGACATACACAAAAGAAATCTATCTTAAGCCAGGAGTGGTGACACACGCCCAAAGCTAAGAGAAACCCTGTCAAGAAACTAAAAAACAAAAAACTATCTTAAACCTTTAATATTAAAGACATCTGACTCTTAAAGTTGTCCTCTTGAGTGCATGCATGTGCGCGTGCACACACACCACATAAAATGCGTAAAAAAAAAAAGTAGGAGCAGTAAAGATTAAGGATTGAAAAGAAATTTCCAAGGCTTCACGTAGCCAGCTTTGAAATGAATTTCATCTAAACATCTTGGGCTTATTATCTACAGCAAGCAGTTGGTGTCGCTACTGAAGGCTGAGAGCCAAGACAGCAAATGTGTGATCTGATTCCTGTGTGTGCTGGGCCCCCTGGTCTGAGGATGAGATGACATCTCCCAGTCTCTGATGTCTGCTCTGTAGAGTGCACATTCAGGAAGAGGTACTTGTCATAGACAGCTTCCCAACTGATCTAACCTTTTACTTTGTACCATTTTACTGACCATGGCTATCTTCTCTAGTCTATGGAGATTATAATCCAAACTGAGTGTGGTCTAATATTCTGTATCAAGGAAAGGGGAGGAAAGCCCTCAACTCAGTAACCCGGATTATAACAGCAGAGCTGTGGTGGTGCATGACCAGGGTAGCCCGCCTAGGTCATCTTAAGAGAGCACATCAGGACTGGGGATGCACATCAGCGGTAGAGCACTCAACCAGATACAGATATGGAGCCAGCTTCACCCTCAGCTCCTAAAAATCAAATCGGAAAGACATCAACTGCTTTACATCAAAACATTCTCATTTATTTTTAATTTCTGAAAGGTTTTTAAAAAATACAATCTTAGAGCTTTGGAACAATGAAACGGTGAGGTTTTAGTGTTTCCCATTTACCTCAGATCCTAGTTAGGATGTGTGTACACAGTTGGCCAAAGCCAAACACGGCTTCTCATGTTGCTTTGTTAACCAGCATGAAACTGGGAGGTAAAGACAAGTTTCTATAGAAACAGAACCTACTGCTATGGCCCTACAGTGGGGAGCTGAATCAACTTGAGCTCCACCGTGAGGTTAGAAATTTGCTTCCAAAGCAAGAATACAAACAAAATGGGGCATGTCTCACTGATAAATGTAAATAAGAATGACGGATACAGGGACAACTATTCTTAGGGGCAAATTTTCTCCAACAAGTGTGGGCTCTTTTCTCTCCAGCATTTCAAAACCTGATGTTGCCTCCCGACTAAAGCTGGGTATGTGCTACACCCAGCTCCTCTTTCCTTCCTGCCCTGTGTCACCTGGCACTGCAGAGATGCCTGGAGGACACAGCAGATGCAATCCCACCCTTATGCTGGCTATGTCCTCTGTGTGCACTTCTGCCACCAACCCACACTCCACCTCAAGAGCTCGTTCCACAGGATGTGCCCAGCTACCCCCTGCCTATTAAGGCCCTTTCCCTTCTTTAACAAGCTAACTCAACACACTAAAAAACTGCCAGGGTGAAACCCCATGCCAGCACTGTCATGCGGCGCACTGAGATTGATCTGCATCTTTCCTTACTGAGGAAATGGCTCCTGAAAGGGCATGAACTGCACCTCATTTACTTCATGGCCCTAGGACTTTATGCAGTGTGGCTTAAAAAAATATTTAATTGCCTACAACTTGTTAAATTGGTGAAAATATGGCATATATTCAAACACAAAACTTTAGTAGCCATTTATCTATAAACATTTAATACTATTTAACTTCATGCTTTACGCTTTAAGAAACATCAAAACTTGTTATCCAATCTGACAGGCTACAGATCCTGTCAAGAATGCTGAAAAGCTGACACTTGCACACTGCTGGCAGGGAAATTCAGAGTATGGCAGAGCGGAATACAGACACCCTGTGACCAGCTCCACTCCTGAGTGGGTGTTGTCAGCATTACTTAGCCCTGCACTGGGATACTTCCGATTGTTCAATAATACTGGGGTGAGGGGAAAACTTCTGGTATCTTTAAATTCTACAGAGGAATGGAAATAACTTCTACACACAGTTAACAAAGACACTACCTTCACACTCTGGTAAACTGTACCTTTGGGGATGGAGAGGGTAGGCACTATAAAGGAACAACCACAACAGGACTTCCCCATCCCGGCCTGGGAAGGTAATGGAGGAAGGTACAGTGGAACACCAGGCAAACTGGGTTCACCCACATGCTCCATCATTTGTGCACCTTACGATGTATAATGACCTTGTACCAAAGTCCGCAAGGCGGAGGGACAGCCATGAGACAACTGAGCCAGGTATCTGTGTCCCTCTGCTCAACACAGAAAGACGCAAGAACTTTCCGGTGCTCAGGTGACAGTGCATTTGCTTCTCACATTGGCAGAGTTACAGTGCTGCTTCCAGACATTTCCTTGCTCTCCAGGGAATTAGGCAGCTTTGTGAGATGTTATCCATCAGCTACTTTTTAGCACCAGGTTTTAATTAACCATTCACTTAAGTCCATATTAAATATGGCCTGCAGAACTGAGTAACTGTTCTAACATTCCAAAATAAGTGTACTATATAATATTCTCTATCTAAAATTTGCTGCCACTTCTTGACAAAGATGGGACAGGAAAAAAGAAAATTTTTTGTTGTTGTTGTTGTTGTTTTGTTTTTGAGACATGGTCTCACTATAAGCCCAGGTTAGAACTTAAGCCC